ACAAAGGGGTTCTTTTTAGCGGTTAACACGCAAACTTGTGTCATGGGGGTTAAACTGGGCTAGATTTAGTCGCCCCCAATCCGAGACTCTGTTCAGCAAAGACTCGACTTTGGACAAGTTTGTACCGGCACTCGGAGACGTTTTCCCGAGAAATATTGGCTCGGCTGGTGTAAAGAGCATCACCAGTGCTGTCATCTGCATAGCAATGAATGTTACGGGTTTGCAACATATTATTGATATGCAGAAGAAACAGCGTTGGCGATAGCACGAAGCCTTGTGGAACACCAGCGTTAATAGGCTTGCAATCGGAGCTTGCACCGTCTACAACGACCTTGATGCCCCAATCTGTTCTGTCTGTGCAAATCGCACAATTTCTCGGGAAGCCCATAGGAAGGGAGCTTCGAAAGAAGCGCTTTGTGCCAAACCCGATCGAAGGCCTTCGCAATGTCCAAACTAACGGCCAATGCCTCCCCCTTGGACTCTACTGCCTCCGCCCATCTGTGAGTTAGGTAGACCAGAAGATCATCAGCTGACCGACCACGGCGAAAACCGTATTGGCGGTCACTAATCAGCTGGTGATCCTCAAGGTACCTCATGAGCTGGCAGTTTACAATGGACTCCATTGTTTTGGAGAACAAGGAGGTGATGGCGATAGGCCGGTAGTTGGACGGGTCTGAGCGGTCGCCTTTTTTAGGGATCGGGTGAACGAAAGCCGTCTTCCATGATTTTGGAACTAAGCCAAGGGAGTAGGAGTACCGGAAAAGACGCGTTAAAACTGGTGCCAACTCTGGAGCACACGTCCTCAGCACAATTGGGGGGATTCCGTCAGGCCCACTCGACTTGTGGATGTCCAGGGAGAGGAGTGCTTTGCGAACCGAGCGCTGTGTGAACTGCACTTCCGGCATGGAGCACTCACACCGCGGGATGGTCGGCGTCGTACTCCCCCCGTTATCGAGGGTCGAGTTGAACGCAAAGATAGAGCCTAGAATATCGGCTTTCTCCTTTGCGGTATGGGCCAGTGAGTTGTCCTCCCTGTGCAGAGATGGAAGAGATGGCTGACAGATTCTCTGGACAGCCTTGGCGAGAGACCAGAATGCCCCGTGCATTCCAGAAGGAAGGCGAACTAGTTTCTCGACAATTCTGCTTATGTGCTCTGACTATGCCTTGGCAATGACTCTTTTGAAGGACCTAGAGGCGGAATTATACTTCTTTTTTAGAGCGCTGGTGTTTACATCCCGGAACGCTGATGCGTCAGCCCAGGCTTGGTAGCACTTCTGCTTATAGCATGATGCTATTTTACAGGAGCGACCAAACCATGGCTGAGATTTGCCTCCAATGGGCACCACAGAGGAAGGAATAAAAAGTTCCATTCCCTGAGGTACCACATCAGCGACTGAATCCACAACAACGTTGGGATCGGCCGGCGAGAAGAAAACCCGCCCCCAAGGGTAGGATGCAAAGAAAGACCGCATCCCATCCCAATCGGCTGACCTATAGTGCCAAACACGGAGGCAGCCTGCAGAATGCAACTGCGATTTCAGCGTGAGTGGCACCACACTCCGAACAAGACAATGGTCCGAGGAGCCTAAAGGGGCGTCGACGGAAATCTGATATCCGTCAGGGTGAGAGGTCACCAGAAGGTCCAACAGGGAAGGTACATGATCCTTCACATCTGGAATCCGCGTAGGCGAAGTAACCAGTTGAGTCAGACCATATGCCAAGGCAAAACCATGAACAGATCTCCCCGCATGATCGGTTAAACGTGAACCAAGCCATTCGGCGTGATGGGCGTTAAAAGTAGGTCAGTGAAATTATTATATAATAACAACATCTACTTAAATTTACATAAGAACTTTCATAATAACAACTAAATTGGGTTCATAATAATAACACCACTTTGTTTCCTCTCTCTTTTCTCTTCCCTCCCTCTCAGAAATGAGGGGAGGCCTGAGCCCAACAGTGGGACGTATATAGGCTGTAACTTTACTTTACTTACTCTTTTCTCTTTGTTACCTCCACAGTAGGATTTTCTCCTGTATCGTGGAGGCAGTTTACAAACATAAATTGCATAAGGACAAACATCCAGACCCGGAACAACTATTTGTAGGCCATACAAATATTTGTTCCGTGCGGGATTCGAACCCGCGGCCCCCAGCGCAGCTACTCATTGCTAAGCCACTGCGCCAAGAAGCTCACAATTGCCGTTTGAGTTTGTTATTATTCAAAAATGAATCGCATATGTAGGTACGCGATGACGCTGTCGCTATGCGTCACTCAGGAGTGCGCATATGTGTGCGCACTAGCTTCTTACTGCTCATCACAGCGTCCTATCCCTTTCGCATGTGATGTCGGCTAAGATAGCATGCATTTTAACCCCGCCCACCATTTAGTTCGAGCTATCGACTAGGGCCAACTTAAGGGATCGACAGCTGCCAACTAGCGCCACTAACAAGTTTAATACTTCAGTATTTTTAGTTGCTCTGTTTAGAAGTTATTATTATTATTTCGATGTTTTATGAAAATACCATATATATATCCATAACATTCCAAAACATCGGAACGATTCGATGCTTCGCTGTACATTGAATATCCCTATATTCAATTTAAAAAAAAACATGATGCATGATGATGGCCACAAATTATAAAGGCTGTTCCGAAATATAACCCAGCATACTGGTGAATGTAAATGACGTCATTAATTGATAACTAACGTCTCTAATTAGAGGCCACGCCCACCCTTCATTAAGGGCCCTGATTCAGGGTGGTGTAATAAGGGCATTATATCAACGATGTCTTGGGTATGTTCCGAAATATAACCCAGTACACTGGCCAATGCAAATGACGTCATAAATCGACGCCATTCTAGTGAATCGTTTTGACGAATACGGTGGAATATGCCGGCAATTAATGACGTCATATACTGGAAACATTTTGGAATATATTACAAAGTTCAAAACACAGCCTATTGTTCTGAAATGTTTCCAGTATACTGGCGAATACAAATGACGTCATTAAGTGACGCCATATTGTACTGGCGTGCCACCGTCTTATTGTGTCGGATATTCTGCCATATTAAAACAATTTTTAATTAAATGTACAATGAATGAAGCATGCCAGATTTTTTTATTTATTTATTCAAAATATAGAATAATTGCTGGTATCTTCATTCTTCACAAATTAATTGAAACAGGATATAATGACTTTTGGAGCACAAAATGGCAAAGTAATCGCCAACACTTTTCCAATATGGCGCAAATGTATGATGTCATATACTGTATGGAGTGTAGGAGTAAGGAGTACAGACTGTGTATTAAAAAGTGTCCATAGAAAACCGTAAAATAAGGGTGGCACCACTATAGCTACGGGTTACATTTAAAAGTACGTGCCGAAAAATATTAGTGGGATAGACGACTTTTTCGAGTTTATATTTACTAAATAAAATTATTTTAGATTTTAGAGTTACTGAGCAGTTTAGCAGCACACATCAAACTGTCGACAACTGTTAAGTTCATTTCATCCCAGTGGCTACTCCAGCGCTGTTGTGGACAATTTTCAACTGTTATTTACAGCTTACAGATGGGCACTTTTTCAACTATTCTACTATGGGAGTTGGTACTTCTTACTTCTACACTCCATAATATACTGTTCAATATTTTGAAAGAATCACCAGTATAGCTTCGTGATGGCCATCAAACTGGGTTATATTTTGGAACGTACCATGGAGATAAGAGAACAGGAGAACGACGCTACGTACCACGAAGGTTAGAGATCAGGAGAACGATCGCCGTAGAAAATAGTGTCCCAGAAATATAGACACCATACACTTATGGTGTCTATATGTCTCCATAATTTTTAATTTTTGACAATAAGAAACATTAAAAAAATGGTGAAATATTGTATTGTGCGTAGACGTGCAAGTGGTTTAGCATCTGATCGGAAAAATAGACTGAAAATAACTTTTATTGAGAGAACTTAGCGATCGCAGCTTCTCACTTATTTTGTCCATATTTCTGGGATACTATTTTCTACAGCGATCGTTCTTCTTCTCTTTAACCTTTTATTTTTTTAATTTAACTGAGTCCTTGCTGCTGTGAGTACTTGCCCTTCTGAGCCTATTATTTCTTTCAGAATCTTCATTTTATATATTTTTTTCTTCACATTATGCTAATGAGTCACATTGCGAAGTTTTCGGGAGATTTTGATGACAGCTCAACCCAGCGGGCTGTTGATGACAGCCACTCAAGTTCATAAGGCGCCCAAGCGATCAAATTAACTTGAGGTTTATATCAACATCAAAGCCCTTGTTTCGTCGTTTTCTCTTATAGTTCACACGCGCTGACACTTGATTCACAAAATCACATCACTTTTAGGAATTAAAATCCACTTCAAACCATTATTCAAGCGACAAAACAGGAGCGACAGTCACCCAGAGCCGTAAAGCCAGTTACATAAAAAAATATGATGACAATGAATGACAATGGGTGCGTTTGGCAGAAAAAAGAGCTAGCAAGCGCTTGTAAGCAAAATGGCGTACGTAGGCGGTAAGCGCTGTCAAATTGTAAGTAGCTATTTTCCTCTAGGACACGAAGTTAGTTTTAACCGGGGAACCTAACCTAATTTAAATATATGTTTGTAAAGTATTCATATTAAAAACTTACCAATCATGAATTTTTAATAACATGTATATGTCTATTCATGTCATTATATTACTTAAAACTAATATTGCACAAAAATACTTATAAACTCTACTTCAAAACAAACAAATTAAATAAGCAAAATGGCGGATTGTGTCAGTGCTACTGAGTACTGTAGTAACAAACGTGTCCTGGCCGAAAACTATTTCAGCGCTTGTAAGCGCTTGCTAGCGCTTTTTTCTGCTGTTTTCTGCCAAACGCATCCATAGACGCACATTGACGTTTGCCATGCTTTTACAAATTGTTTATTTTGATTTTACGCAAACAAAACTAAATTGAATTAATGTTAATTTTGTACTTAAAGCAATGGAGATAGATAAACCCATGAATCCCGATTGCCTTGCGGATAGTACCAATGGTACCAATAATGACTTAGAAATCTTGACTAATATTACATCAAATGAGAATACTTTACACGAATTACCGACTTTGTTCAGCAGTAAAACATTACTGGAACTTTGCTGTTCATCCTGGTCACAATCCGCGAGTGCTAAGGTTGATGTTCAACCGTATTTGCGTGGTTGTGAGTGGTCCCCAGATGGGACGTGTTGCATGTCAGTAGTTAATAATGACGGAGTACATATTACTGAACTTCCACGCGATCTGTACTCTGGTTCAGTTGACTCTAGCCGTACTATTGATGTTCTAGACTCGGTTATTCATGTTAAAGAATCTGGACTGATTTATGACTTTTGTTGGTACCCGGCAATGAATAGTAGTATTCCTGAAACATGTTGGTAAGTTTTTGGCATATAAATATTCATACATGATTAAAAGTACTGATTAGCTCATAAGGCATATAACATATATTATAAGGGAAGGTACGTATTTACGCGATCAGTATGCTGATCAAGTGGCGACACAAAATACACGCAAGACTTCATTGTATTTGAATATTCTCGCTCTCTCCTTATTTATATTATTTATATTACTGTTACAGATCAATGTTCTATCAAGGTATATTTACTTTAAAGGATTGGAAGTATTTTCTTTGTAAATGCGATTCTGCTTCTTACTTATATTAAGTTACGGATCAATGTTCTATGCAAGTATTCTTCTTCCAACAAGGCTTCAAAGTTGGAATTTTTTAGGGTTTGGAAGTTTGTTTTTTATGTAAACATGATTGTGCTCTTTATTTGTATATAGTTACAGATCAATGTTCTATGCAACTATTTTTCTTCCAACAAGGCTTGAAAGTTTACTGTTTTAGCATATGTGATTGCACTCCTTATTTATATGATTGTACAGATCAATTTTCGATGCAGAAAGAAAATACTTAAAAGAGAAAGAGAGATCGCAACTTTATCTTGAGCCCTGGTTTTTGGCACTGGTATCTGGAGGTGAAGGTACTTGGAAGCCCTGTTATTCGATTTTGCAAGTACGTCCCATCTCTAGTATATATGCCCTCGTTGGCCGGCCGGCCATTTGCAAATAATGCGCATCTGCTAAGGCATTAGCAGATAAATTCCGCGATATCGGCGCGTGGCGATTAAATTAGTAATTTCTCAAAAATATTGTATGGGAGCTATGTATAAAACTTATGTCATTTGAATTGTTATATTATTTGCTACTATTCTGTACTTATCTTAGTTGAATACAACCTAATAGGTTTTATTAAGCCGATTTCAAAGTTAGAAAACTAAATTTTTTTTAGTGTGTTTAATTTTTGAAAATTAAACAGAAAAATCATTCATTTATAAAATAAATGTAATTTATTTTCATCAATATACACAAATTTATAATAATAAAGCAAAAAACCACACATTCCTATATATTTTTTACACCAAAAGTTTTTTACAATCTTAACATATGAACGGCAACCCAAGCATCGCACAAAAAATAGCATATATTGTTACTTTTATTTTGAGAAAGGAGCGAGTCAAGTGGCTACGATAATTTTAACGTTAAGTATGGTTCAAGTTCTTAATGTAGACAAAGTTTAATTTCTAAAAAGTATGTAATGTATTTTTAAATCAACAATAGAGATAAATGTAAGGTAAGTAGGTTTAACGGCCGTTTATGTTCGAAATTATTATTTTTTTAATAAAAAGGATACATATCCCTAAATTATGAATTAAAAACTGTTGGCTATTAACCCTTCCATGTTAAAATAGCACCAAATTTCACTATTTGTTTGCTTTACAAATAAAAAAAAGAACGTACGACTGCCACACAGGCTGTTTATATGAAATTTCTAAACATTGTAGTACTTTAGTAGCTTTGTATCGCTTCCTCTTTCTTTAGTGTATAATTTTATATAAGTAAAAGTATGATAGCAATCATTGTCGGCGGTTATTTTACCCGCCAAATAAGGGGATATAGAATGTACTAATTAGTGTACAATCCAATCACTTTATTTCATTCTGTGTGTGATTTAAGGTGGTATCTCAATAGGTAATATGAAAAATTCTTTAAGCCTCCAATCGATGGCGGTATAATCTTCGCTTTTACACCTGATTTAAAATACCTAAACCAACACTGGGCTGTAGTGCTATAGGTGTGATATCTGGTACTTCAATTGTTAATACACCTGCTCAGCGTGGTACGGCAAATCCTGTCCACAACAAGAGAGGCTCATGTCCATCAATATATTTTTACTGGCTGATAAAGTAAAAAATGAAGGTTTGAATAGGTATTTCCGCGATATCTATTTAATTTCAATATGTGAAAATTATAATTTAGCAGAAATTATATATGTATGAAAAATGTATTCTGAAGGAAAGTAGTAAGTTAAAAAGTGACATTATTATTTAAGTTACTTCTCTTGCTCCCAACTAGAATGAACTTAATTCACAATGCACCATTGTCATACTAACTATTGTTATACTTCTTTACTACTTGCTCAGTGACCCAAAGTGGATCTCGGTTTCTGACACTAAAGAATAGAAACAAAAAATTATCAATGACCACTGAAACTCGAAAAAATCTTGCCATTGCTATTAAATATGATTAATATATATCTGGTTAGTGAGATAGTACAATCAGGTATGGTTAGTTGAGTATATCATCAATTATGTAATTATAGTTTTCTATATTTCTTTTATGGTATAGTATAACAAATACACAACACTTGATGGTAAGTGAATGCTGTGGCCCATAGATATCTACATTTATCCTCAATTCAGTATCAAAAGCAGATGCGGTGTGTCTCCTCTGAGGCCTAAGATGCAATGTTTCTGCAATGCATTAAGCTGCTATTTTATGCTAGTATTGTGGTCCTCCTGATTGCCTTGTTGGTCTAGTGGTTGTAGTAGTGCTACTGCTGATCATGGGGTCCTGGGTTCGAATCCTGGGTCAGACCAGAAAATTAATTATTGAGTTTTTCCGTCAAGAAATTCTCAGTAGTTGCCCGGAGTCAGGAAGTTGGCGGTGTCTCACCCCCGTGCCTCGAAAAGCACGTAAAGCCGTTGGTCCTGTGCCTGATCTCTCTCTGGTCGTGTCGGTTTACTGTCCCATCGGATTATGAGAGTGAGGGAATAGAGAGTGCACCTGTGCTTGCGCATACACTTGGGCACTATAACCCTGTCCTGCGCCGATGCCTAGTCTCCATTGAGGCAGGCCGCTGTGGCCGAAATTCGGTCTGGAGGACATTATTATTATTGTGGTCCTACTCCGATTGAGCTGACCCATTCATGCTATAACCATAATGTAGCTGCAGAGTGGCGTCTACCATTTACAAGTTATAATTTAAGTAAAGAATGTTATGAGAGTTGTTAAGTTATATTGTAAATTTCAGTTGGCTAACAACCAAGCAAAATGCTCCTGTACAAATGTGGGATGCATTCGATGGGTCATTAAGATGTTCTTACAGAGGATTTAATGCAGTGGATGAAATGGAACCGGCCTTATCAGTAACTTTTAATATTGAAGGAACTAGAATCATAGCTGGATACAAAAAGGTGTTGAGAACATTTGATGTAGATAGGTAACATTAATAATCAGGTTACTTGATTAATAAAAAAAAGTAACAATTTATTTATTTTTTCGTAAATATTTATTTTTATATTTTCTTTATTTTTTATTACATTAATTGAAATAATACTTTCTTACATTTGATTGATCAATGTCAATTAATCAATTTATTAAAAATCTAATAACCTCTACTACATGTTTTATAGGTGCCCCTAATATGTTTGTAAAATTTTATGTAATACACTTGAGGGATCTATTTAAAAAAAAAAGAATGGTATCACTGTTAAACCTACTAATCCTAAATCTTTTTTAAAAATTTTAGCTATAAAAATATCAGAAGTGCAACACAAGGATATACATGTAACAGTTTATAATTTTCTTACAGGCCAGGTAGAGATTTTGCTGAACATAAAATTAATTCCCCTGCATCATGTTTTGCTACGAATAGTAATCTCCTCGCTGTTGGTTCTTGGAATACAACTATAAATCTTTTCAATGTAAATGAACTGGGAAATTACAAGAGTATAGGGAAAATGCATGGTCACTCAGGTATCACTGTTTTTCTTAAACTTTTTTACATGTTTTATATGTGGTGGAGCCATGCTCCAGTTATATTAGAAGTATAGTTGTGGCACAAATGGGTCCGGGGAGGGACCACGCTCTCACAGAATACCAGCATGAAATAGTAGCTTAATGCTGCTGTATTTCGTATGGTGAGTGTAGAGAACCGGAGACCCTTTTTACTGGAAACGAGGCATTCCATCTTAGTCCTCATGGGTGACAACGAATCTGCATTTTGATTCGTAATCGGGGATAGATGTGGATGTCTATGGGCCACAGCAACCACTTACCATCAGGTGGACTGTGTGCTCGTTTGTCACTCTATCCTATTAAAAAAAAATGTTAAAAAATGTGTGAGTGTGTATAGAGAGCTAGTATTATTACAAGCTGTGAGGGATTTCATCTTAGTCCTCAGAGGTGACAATGCATTTGTAGCCTTCTTTTTTTGAAGTTGGTTCCAGGTGTCCATAGACTATATTAGCCACTTAGCATTAGATGGACTGTAAGCTCGATTTACACTTCAGTTTTATATAAAAAAATTATCAACTTGTGTGTCGTTATAATGGTTCTGCAATGGACTAAGGGACACCATATCAGTGTATCCAGGGGCAACAATACAGTAGACAAACTGCCCAGGAGAGGGGTTGGCTATAGACATCTGGTACTTGATTTTGATAATGTTTTTAGTCTAGGAGGCTTGTTAGGATTAAGCTTGAACCTATTACACTGTTTTTAGATGTCTGAAATGAGTTTTGAATTAATTACGATAAAAACAAATTTCACTAAAAATTGTGTAATAATGAAACGCAAATATGTCAATTTGTTCTCGTATTATGAAGTAGATGTCCGGTACTTGATTTTTTAATTTTGTTTTCAATTTAGGAGGATCGTCAGGGTTACGCTTGAACCATTTACACTGTTTTTGGATTTCGGAAATGCCTTTTGAATTAATTTCGATTAAAATAAATTTCACTAAAAATTGCAATAATGAAACGCAAATATGTCAATTGTTTTTTTTTAACACCGATAAACTCATAAAAATGTTAATCACTCACCAGACAATCCATTTGTGGCTGGAGATGGGACTTATATACAACAAATTGAGTCGCAGTGGAGAGCAGTCAAGAGGTTTTTCAGAAAACAAAATTATAACAATTCACATTACATTATTTTATTTACCACTATCATAGCAGAGTTTAGGGCAACCAGTTTTTATAGATAAGATTGGTCGAATCGGTTCTAAAATCGACGAAATTAGCACACCCCAACTCCACGTAGTCTTGTCTGCCCTACCCCTAGAGTGTTTTTGTAAAACCGAAGGCACGGAGGGAGAGCAGCCCCCGCCCGCTGTAGCAAATCGCAGGCACCTGTGCGAGCCGCAGCGGCTGAGGCTGGTCGCCGAAGGCGACCAATATGCCGAAGCTGGGGAGGCTAGTATACCAATCCCTTTTGGCAATATGCATTCACTGGTATGTAGAAACTTCACTAATCAACATGCTCAGCTATGGGAATATCTAGTCGACTATAGACAAGCTTTGGAGGCTCCGCCAGAAATAAACAGTTGTTTAACCAAGGTTGTAATGAGATTGAACAAGTCACAGATCAGGATAGCAAAAAGTGTTATTATATGGCTCTTTTAACAAATATTTTATTAAAATAAAAGTTCTAATATTTTATTAAAATTTTAATAAAATATTAGAACAATGTGTTCCAAAAAAAATTCAATGTTATAGTAGGTCTAAATACGTGTATCCTGAGTGGTATACCGCCGATGTTATCCGATTAATACAACAAAAAGCTACTCTTCATAAAGTATACAAGAAAAGTAGATCAGGTTTAGATTACGAGGTTTTTTCACAATTTAGGGCTAAGGTCAAACAAAGCATAAGAGAAGCGTATACACACCATCAGCATATCGTTCAAAGTAATTTACAGGAAAACCCTATATCTTTCTGGAGGTATATAAACTCCAAAAAAAGCAATAGAAGTCCTCGGAAAATGTATAAAAACGGTGAACTTCTGACGAATGAACAGTCAGTACATGAGTTAGCCAATTACTTCTATTCGGTGTACAGTCCGTGTAAGGCTAAATTAGATGTAAATTCAGCGATACAGGTGACTGGCAGTGAGAACGTGGCAGCACGCGTACACCTTAGCGCGTTACAGCTCAGTGAGGTACAGCACGCCCTTAAACAACTTAAGCCAAAGAAATCGACAGGACCAGATGGTATACCACCGTATATATTTAGAGACTGCCGATCTGTTCTAGCTAAGCCTTTGCTTCATATATATAACCAATCCCTGAGAGCAGCAGTATTTCCGGAAAGATGGAAGACGACTAGGGTAGTACCAGTACCGAAAGCTGGTGCCAAAGGAAACCTGGATGGTAATAGACCTATCGCAGTCCTGTCGACTCCAGCAAAAATATTTGAGTCAGCTATACAGAAGAGCGTATATCATCAAATGGGTATACAATTATCGGATTCACAACACGGGTTTCGGCCGAATAGAAGTACAAGCAGTAATCTTCTTGCGTATATGGCGGACGTGTTACCGACGGTGGACGCGGGCGGGCAGGTCGACGCAGTCTATTTCGACTTCAAAAAAAGCGTTTGACCTTGTAGATAATGATATCCTACTCAGAAAGCTAGCAGGCATTGGTTTTACACCACACTTACTCAACTTCTTTGCTAGCTACATGACAGACAGACAGCAATATGTAGAATATGCAGGATACCGATCAGACACATATTTCACGAGGTCTGGAGTAAGCCAGGGTAGTAATTTAGGTCCTTTGGAGTTCATAATAATGATAAATGATCTCCCCAAAATGGTCCAAGAAGCAAAATGCCTATTATTTGCAGATGATTTTAAATTATACCTACCTATAGTATGTAAGGAGGATTGCACGAGGCTACAAAGTGATATAGATAGGGTGACTAGGTGGAGCAAGGAAAACAACTTGCAGCTTAACACCTCAAAATGTGTCACAATTACATTCTCTCGTAGCCACAACCCTATTGTACATAATTATATGATAGAAGACTGTGTACCCATGACTAGGGTCAAGGAAGTTCGTGATTTAGGAGTGGGTATGAATACAGGATTAACTTTTCGTGAACACATCATTAAATGTTGTAAAAAAGCTTACAAAAGTTTGGGTTTCATACTACGCACAGTTAATAATTTCACAAATATTTACGCAATTACTGCATTATATAATACACTGGTTAGGAGCCAACTGGAATACAATGCGATGATTTGGTCGCCGCACGAAAACAAGTACACTCTTATGCTGGAGCGAGTACAAAATAAATTTTTAAGATACCTGTACATGCGACTGTATGGAGTGTATCCACTCTATCCATTAATGTATCCAACATTGTTCATTTTAGGTATGGTAGGTTACAATGAAATCAGGGTTAGAAGGGAATTTACTCTTGCACGCTATTTGTACACAGTTCTGATAGGCAGAGTACATAACACAGACGTGCTGGATCAGTTGGCACTCCGAGTCCCTGACCGGTACGTATATCGCAGACGCCGGCCGCAGCTGCTGGCGGTACCGCGCGCGAGGACTAACTTGCTGCAGCACGCGCCGCTCACGCGCGCACTCAGAACACTAAACAGAGTCCAAGATAAAATTGACATATTTTGTTGTACTCTGAGTGAATTCACGAAGGTCACATTATATGTAATAAGTTATAGTTAAATCTAGGTTTTTTATGTAATTTTTTGTTTATTTTTTTATTTTTATAATCTGTTGTTAGTAGGAAATAATTTTTGTTAGTATTTTATTTAGGTAGGAAATGCTTTTACTTTTATTATATATTTACTTCTATTATATTCTTATTGTTGATTTTAGGTAATAATTTTTGTTAAATCTTAGGATAAGTTACTCTATCGCATTAGGAAACTGTAAAGATAGATGTAAGAGAGAATAAATAAATAAATAAATAAATATTAGTTTAATATGGGTCTTACAGATAGTCTCCTGTGCAGTGCATGTATGGGGCAGGAAGAAACGGCAGCCCACTACCTAGGTCTCCATTATCTGGTGTAGTAAGGCCAACCAAAAGACGACTGCGGATAGGCTAAATAGTTTACAAAGGACTGCCTGTTTAATGGCAACAGGAGTGATACGATCATCGTCAGGCGTGGCTCTTAAAGCATTTCTATGACTAACGCCCCTTGATCTCTATTTATACAAGGAGGCGAGGGCTAGTTTGTATAGGATTAATGCTCAGGGTGGTCTGAGCTTGCTTTCGTATAGATTGAGGTCCATGCTCGACTTAATTAAGGAAACACTGGTCTTATGCATGATCTCAGATATCATGTATCCACTATACAATCATAGTGGATCTACCCTCCAGAGAAAACTGGCTGAATGGACAGGCTATCTGTGATGTTGGTAGCCTTATATGGTATACCGATGGGTCAAAAATGGGCCTCGACGTTATGCTTTAGAATTTATGGGTAACATCCCTAATTTAATCTTAGTATGAATTTGGGTAAATTCACCTCTATCTTCTAGGCTGAAATTTCGGTGTGCGGCAGTCAGCCTGCAAAAACACTATGTCAACCATATTAGATAGTCAAGCTAGTTGGAAACTGCGTGAACCGTTTAAACGCCCTGTGGGGTAACAATAGGGTCGTTTTAAGACGGGTTCTGGGTCATGTGGGTATTGTTGACAATGAACTTGTCATGATTGATGGATGAACCCAAGCCATTTTGTGGAACATCAAAAATCCTAATCAGATTAACCCTTGAACATTTTTATCACAGTGAATCACTTAAGATCTGGTCTGATACACCAGGCTTAATATATTCTA